TTCTGAGAGGATGTTGAAGACAACCAGCGTCGGTGTAGTGTTAGCTCCATATGTCTGGCTGTTTTGTTGTCTGCCTATGCATCTGTCTGTATTCTGCTATTGCTCTTGGTATTTGAAACTCCAGATGGATGAATGCAATTAGATGTAATATGCTAAAAACTAAATGTCAACACATTGCCTTCTACGGCTTTAGCTCTCATTTGTTGCCGCTATCTTGTCTGCCTGAATGGGCTCATCTCAGCGTGAACATGGACCATTGAGTTTCTCTCATTAAACGGAGGACGGCTACTATTTCCCCTTTTGTCTGTATCGACAGTAGCTCCTGTGTTTTGTGTTAATAATGTTTACAAAGTATACAGACAAGCTTTCCTTTTTAAGTCGCTTCAAGTGGGTGGATGATGTTGTTTTGTGTCCTTTAATAAGGAGCTGGTCACATGAATTTAGTTAACTGTTCTTTTGGGACTCCCTTTGTCCATTCAGCAAATGCTCTTCCCTACTTTGAAGTAGTTTGATGTTTTTCGATGTAACCTGGGGAAAGATTTTGATTGAATGGATACCCCAGCCAGTGAAACAAAAGACAAGGACACAGAGTGAGAGGAAGTGATGCGTAGGCCTGTCATCTTCTGTAGTTTCTCTCTCTCCAGGGAGCCAGTTAAACACACATCTGAGCCACACTATTCAGGCAGCACGGCTCAGAGTTGGAGGCAGTGGGCTGCAAACAATGAGTAACATTTGGGAGCAGTCATTTTGCACAATCACCACCAGTACACGAGTTGCCAAAATGGGAGGCATAACTCACATGGAAGGCGTCGGAAAATTTGTATATGAATATGGCCATTTTCCAGAACAAATGTATGGGCTTTATCTAATAGAGGATTTATGTGACAGTATACAGTATATCACACTGTTATCCATTGTGTTAGTAATTCAGATGTAAATCAGAACCAGCTCATTTCTGAGCTGTAAACATTTTTGTATCCTGTGTGTTATTTCATCATTTTTGAATGAAGTCTTACGTCAGTTTCTTAGGGTCAAAAATGATTGCACTGGTATGGATGTCCTGAAATTTTAACTATGTTGCACTCTGGCTGCAGCTCCACCTCAGATGGAAAGGCGGGTATTTTTGCCTTCGGGCAGCACAAAATGCTTTGTGATGTGAAAATTGCTCCATCCTCCAAGAAAGGATAGATGATAGGTTATCACAGACACACTGTTCACTCGTGCCGCCCAACTCACTTTTTGGCATCTTCAAGAACGGTGTCCTTGGCCGACACTGAATGAAAACATGTGTGATAATATTACTGTTATATTGTTCTGCTCGCAGCGACCCATGAGCCAAGGGTCAAGTGCAGATTTACGTATTTTAACATGTATATACCCCAAGTGTCATAAAATATGGGGAAAATAAGGGAAAAGAGAGGATTTTGATATGTACAGTATATGGACATATGTTTGGTATATACCTACAGAAAACAAAACAATTATACAATTTCAATTATAGTAACAATATTCAGAGTCATGCTGCTGTTGCGACTCCTGCCAGATCTTTCAACATGGTGCTATAGTTTATATTTAATTACTATTTTATTTATGCATTTAGTAGTTTATGGCCACTTTGGTACAGTGGAAACAAGCTGTAAACACAAAATTGACATATTTTTTTGGAGTTTTGGAGAACCTCACGTTCCTATAACTTTGTTTTTGGCCTCTACCAACTCCTGAGGAGATATCTGACTCTTTATAGCTACCAAAAGCTTGCCTCTAACTGTGTCTGTCTGCTATTTGATGCTGAGTAGGTAGTTTTGTGGTTGAAAACAGCTGCCTGCTATGGCTGAACAAGATGCTCATGAGAGCAATGAGAGTGAACCAGTAAAGTAATGATGCAGACCCGAAAACTAAAGATGCTACAACATACTGGAATAAAAGCACAAAAATATGGTACTATCCAAGGTGGTGATACGTTTGTATTTGTCAAAGATACAGACAGTACGGTATGATACGATATACAGAGCTGGATACAGATCCATTAAATTTCGATCTTTCTAAATACTGGTCCTTTTTGTCCAGTAATGCTCTTTAGAGCTGAGGGGAACTCATCTCAACTCAACTCAGCTTTATTTATTTAGCATCTTTCATACAAGCATGTGGTTCACATAGCAAAAGTGAAACAGTACTTAAGAAAAAAACCATAATAAATACAATTTTGCAAGGCTAAAATACAATAGAATCAATAAAATGTAAAACATCTAAAAATAGAAGTCAACAGAAAAATAAAATAAACACTGGGAGAGAAATAATAAAAAATAAGGTTTAAAATCCAGATTAAAAACATAGGCCTTTAATTTCCTTTCCTTCCTAAACTGCAGTGGGATGATAATTCTCTGTGTGTTCATCATTATGAGCGACACGTATTGCATACACAATCATGTGATCCACTGGTAATACAAAAACATTGGTTATAGGAGTTTTACAATCAAAAATTTAATTTGCGATTCTTCCCAGTCTGCTACTTTGTGATAATGATAATTCCTATGTTTCTTCTTTTCTCCCCCTTCAGGCAAGTATGTTTACCAGCCCATGACCAATGTGTGCCAGCTGCCCAGCACAGCCGTGCCACCTGCAGGGACAGAGTACAGTAACACCATGGACCTGTCCCTCTCTCTGGCCGAGCGCTTCCTGAAGCTCGCCCCCTGCTTCCAGTCCCCACCTCACCTGGAGTCGCCCAAGTACTGCGTCATCGCGGATCTATTTGTGGACGACTACATTGTCAAACGCATTAACGGAAAGATGTGCTACGTGCAGCGCCCCCCGCCTCCCATACCAGAACCACCTCATCCTCCTACCCCTCCCCCACCTGCTCTCTCTGCACCTCAGATGCCCCAAATTCCCACTCAGCCTCGGCAACCAGTGAAGCCCACGCCGCCAACCCAACACACACCTGCACCCACACCTGTGCAGCCAGTCCAGCAGGTGTACAGTGAACACAAACACCCCTCCCCCGTGGATAAGATAAAAGGCCCCAAAATGGACCACTGCTCCTCTCCGTCCAGTTCCGAGGACTCCGGCATCAACGCGCTGGGTCTGCACTACTTGGAGTCCTGCGAGGAGGAGAGTGAGGAGGAGGAGGAGGACGACGAGTTGAGCACAGATGGGAACTCCAGCCCCGGCAGCCTCTGGGATCAGGATGACTGTTCTCTGCTCTCCCCCTCCAAGTCTATGATAGAGATCATTGAAAAGATCGAAACAACTGTGTAACTGACACAATGTCAACACGGATGCCAGCTGTGAGGGAGCATGAACTACAGAGCAGCATCATATTACAGAGAATAACATTCAAGGATTTATTCTACATGGACCAAGAGGACACAAACCAGTCTCCAACGCTTCAGCAGGGTTTTGCTGAGCTGTTTGGAGTTGAATTTGTTTTTCCTGCAGGTGGCCGAGGACTGTACGTCTGCACTCACACACAGCCTCTCCTCTGTCCACATCCCCTGCATGGAGTGAATTTCTAGAACTTATTACGATACAGGAGAAAAAGGAAGCACAGGAATACCAAGCACATGCACAAAGGACCAAATGGACCGGTTACCTCTACATGGTAATTATACAGTGAAAAGTCTGAAATATAAAAGGAACCTATAGTAGGTGCACTTCCATCAGAGGAAAGACTTTTTTTCTGAGACTTCTCTTTAGGTATATACTACTGGAGCTAAATTATAGATGAACAAGGTGGTATAAGTAGGTTTTGTGATGATAATGAGCAGTTAGGTAATTCTTAGTGTTCTCCAGTCGTCAATCTGGCAGTCAGACTTAATACTAATTCAACATTTAAGTGGCAGATAAGCCTGACATTTCTTGTTCTCCGGTCAGTGGCTCCACCCACACATATTAGTAATTCTGACACTTCAGCATAATAAGTACAAGGCCAGCTACCTCTCATGGGCCTAAAGCACATCAGCCTTTTAACCCGTTAATTACTCAGCTCTGAGCTGCAGGGAGACACCTGCTTTTGTCACATTAATAACACAGTTTGTCTGCACTTTACTGACACCAACACGAGCGGTAGGCAGGTAGGTAGTTCAGTGTTCGACAATCAAGAATTACACAGAAGCACATTCCTATACTGTACCTGCCAGCACGAACCAATGATAGTCTTATAGCTTCTAAAACCATTTATCAGACATTAACACATTGTTCTGACCACCTTTTTCTGGTCAAGCTGCACTGACCTGCAGTGCTCTTTAAGGATTAAATGGGACATTAAGCAAAACATGACTTGTGTTGACCTCCATTAGCAGCCAAGAAATTAAATAGAATGGATGTTTCCCTGGCAGAGCTACATTGACAGAAGTAGGAGTCACGTTGTCACAGCAGAAACTTGTAAAACACCTAGTGAAGAGGGAATATATCCAATATATATACACATAAACTTATATAATAATAAAACTGCATTGTTATTTGCTTTTTGGGCTTGACGATGAAATTGCTTGTGCTGAAAGGGGAGTCTGGCAAAGGTGTGCAGGCTAGGCTAGACTAATAGGTCACAGTTATTTTGTGTTAGGGGGCAGAAAAATGTCACTTAATGCACCTTTAAAAGGAGATTACAGTATGGGATAGGATGCTGAATAGGTGTTGTGATGTTGTGATGGACATGATATTATAAGAAATACACTCAAATATAAAATTAGTGAGACAGCCCTTTATTAGTCAGTTAATAAAATGAAGATGGGCTGGGTCTTTTTAATTTATTTTTTTTATTTTTTGGAGAGTTATCTGGAAAGAATCACTAAGATATTCACAAATATGTATTGCTACAATGCTATGTAAAAAAAAAAGAAGTCATTTTGCATGACTGCGTTTCATCAAGTCCCTCATGTCAAAAACCAATTTGACATATTTGTAATTCGAAGTGTTCAAAGAGCGAACAAATCCTGTATTTGTTATTCAAATAAAATATTTTTTATTCAGGGACAGCCCTTTACATTACACTGAACACAGTCCCCCCTTAATGCAGTTTAAAAACATGTCTTTTTGTTCTTATTATTGTTATATTATTTTCATATGAATAAATCTTAATGAAACTCACTTTTTGTTCTCCCTTGGTTTGTCCTCTTTAGCCAGTGGTTTGAAGCATGTGAGCATTTTCTGCAAAAAGAAAGTGGAAATCTTCTTTGAAAAGCACTCAAACTTCCTCCACCTGACACACAGATGACTAATGCTCTCCAGAGATTGGGCGGAATAGCAAAGCAAAGTGGGAGACACACTAAAATTGAGTCATTACCTCAGCTGTGGTTGTTTGTCTCCTCTGAAATGTCTTGAGAAATGTTTTGTGTCTCACATTCCCTCCTTTCTTACACTGCACTGGCATATAAAAAGTACATTACCGTAAAGCTAGAGAAAAGTAAAAAATCAGGTGAGTGGAAGCATTGCATACAATAGAGGTTAGACTCAAGCACCTTAACCTCTGACCCCTATGCTTCCTTTTATTGATCCACATCAGCAATAGATACAGAGTCCTGCCATGTCCTCTGGGTCCCAGACAGTCGTCTTCTTTGTCCACACTTCGTCTACCAGCTGATTTTATGAGAGACCATGCGAGTGCCTTCCTCACCTTGACTTCAAGCCCAGATTGATTTCTCCATGCTTCTTTTTCCCCCTGCATTGTGCCTATCGATTATTTGTACTCTGCGAAGTGCGAAGACAAAACCAAGGCCGAGATGAAATGCTAATCAGTTTATATAAATGTACATTCATTGTTCTGCTCGGTGGTGAAGAGGAGGAGTGTGCAACTGACTGCTGGAAAGTCTGGATGACAGCGCAGAGTAGGAGAAAAGAAGAGGAGGGAAGAGAGAAAAAGATGAGAGAAGAGAAGCACTCCTCTCTTCTCTCCTTCTTGTCCATTGAGAAGAGAAGAGAAGAGAGGTGAGAAAATAGGAGAGGAGAAGAGAGTAAGACAGAAGAGAAGGGGAGGAGAAAAGGGAAGAAGAAAGATGAAAAGAGAAAAGTGGGAGTGCATTGGGGGGAGTGCAGCGACAGGCGGAGAAGAAGAAGCTCAATTAAAAGGATGATGATGCAAGCAGATGTAAAGTCTTCGGACAGACTGCGTGTGTTCGTGTGCAGGCTCACATGGTTACGTGTAGTTCAACACTTTCAAACAACTTCAGATTTAAAAAAAAAAGCTACAGACAGATTTCATGAAGAGATAGATTGCTGTTACTGTTAATCCCTCGCAGCAAAGTCATTCAATTGGCAGGCACCTTGAGCAGTGGAGGGCTCACGAACACACACACACACACAGAGAGAAAGATACACACCAAATCAAAAAACGCCCTTGTTCAAGGACTGCTTCACAAGCAGGGTTGGCACAGCACGAGTCACACAAGCTTTAAAGAGATGTTGTCAGTTTTTTTTTTCTTTTGATGTGCGTTCAAACACATTACCTTCCCAAGGAGGTTTCCTTTTAATTTCATACAATTGCATTTTCTCTCCAGGGGCCTGTTATTACACGAGTAAAACCCAAATACTTTTGGAGATTTTAAGTGACAAAATGAAAATATGAAGTACCAGCAGGAACTGAGTAAGAGGAGAAGCAATAGGAGGAATCAACTCACTGTAATACATTTGCTCTGATTGACATCAATTGTGTCTAAATGTAATGCAGGTAGATGGAATAGATGCAGACAGTTTAATACTCATGAAAATAACTCATTACAAATGTTTACCATATATGTGAAAGATTGTGATGAGCATCACTCACAGACTTATCTCTTATCTAGTCTTTTTGGCTTTTATTGCCTTTAATTGATAGTGACAGCTTTAGTGTGACAGGAAAGCTGGAGAGAGAGAGAATGACGTACAGCAAAGGGCCACAGGGCGGAGTCGAGCCCATGGCCGCTGTGGCAAGGACTCAGCCTTGGTATGTGGGGCGCCAACGCTACCAGTTGAGCTATCTGGATGCCCCCGTTTTGCAGTCTTAAACCCTTAAATGCGTGCCTTAGGTCTTCCTCAAACTATTTGTTTTTAACAAAGAAATCACCAAAAGGTTTATTGGGTTTCAGACACTGGAGGTAAGTAAGAGTATGATATGGTCTGCAGGTAGCAGGTAATGTTGTGTAATCCTGTTTCACCTCAATATGGCCTCTCAACCATGTTGCAAATACCTAGAGACAGTCACCATGATTTTGGATTACTGACTAATTGTGTTAGTGGCAGACTGAGCAGTGACAGAGGTGTTGTGAAAAACATATACAATGTGTTTTTTTAACCCTCTTTTTTTATTGATTTGGCTTTTCAAAACAATAAAACAACCACTCAGTATATACAGAGTTTTTGCATTATTGGTCCAGGATGCCATACACAGCGTTCATGTAGTCACCAGAGGACAGAAGTATTGAACAATGGTGTTGTACATGAACAAAAAAAATCCCTCAACTCAGTCAATTATCTTCATGCAAAACTGCACTCAATTCCTAGAAGATTCAGTGGTTTGTAGAAACATGGCGGTTCAACATGGTGAACAGTTCATTCTAACAGGTAATGAAAACACAATGAATCCTGTATTCAGGTGATTATACACTAATGAATACATACCTATGAATGTTATATTCCCTTTCTGCTGATACATCCCCTTAAATGTTACACACTGGACCTCTAAATAAAGAGTTGGAACAAGCTGACACAGAATATAGACAGTATGTGATACTGCCAGACACTGCCCTTAACTGGACGTTAAAGGGTTAATATAATTTATAATTTGACAGTGCACATCATGGAAATCCATATCAGCCTCCTACAGGGAACCAGCACTATATCGCAGGCATACAGCTTCCTCCTATAGTCCCCCTCTAATCTGAAACATTCAGAGCCAAACTTCAACAGCAGCACTCCATTTCAAAAAGGGCCATTTATATGTCCAATTTACAGCATAATGTCCCGTTGATTGGCCTGATGCAGGCGGCGTGCAGGTAACAGGGGAACCCACCAGCAGGCTGCTGATAAACAATCAGACACATGGGTTTGCCTCGGCCATGCTCGATGGGTGATGGGTTTCTGATAAGGTCTATAAACGCGAGTGTCACCTGGAGTGCAGCTCTGCACTCCCTGCCTGTAAAATATTCATTACTTTTTTCCGTCACTGTCTGCCCTCGTCTTTGAAATGGATTTAGAGCACTTTTTCCTTTTAGACACAGACCGTGACTTTCTCCCCTGAAAAACTCCAGACAACAGCGTCAAGCTTTAACGTCGATAGACAGGGCTGTGTTTAAAAGTATTCCCTTTCTATTGCTTAAAGCTACATGGTGATTCATCCTTTCACTACCTCTGGTGAAAAGCCTGTGATGGGTGCTTTTGTTGCGATGGCCGAATGAGTCACAGTGGTGTACCTTAATGTGATTAGTTTAGGCTTTGTTGCTGTGAATTAGTTGGGGAATGTGTTGAATGGATGATCACATTTGCACATAAAATTTGCATGTTTAAAATATTGGACTTTACATTGCTCACTCAAGAACCTGATGAAGAAGATCATTCACAATCATCCTAAATTAAATTGGTTCACATTTACGTATCATATTTCTCAGTTAAAATGAAGCTATTGTATTATTACTTTTCAGCAGCTTTCATGGTTTTGATAGTGGCCATTAGCAGAGCAAATGCGTGGTTTTTGAGCACTGAGGGAAAGTTTGAATCCATCTTAATCACATCAAAGAGTCAGAGGATGTCGGGGATGCCTGCGCTGGCTTTCAAGTTGAAAGCCAAGGAAGTCAATATGGCCGCTTTCTCTAGTGTCTGCTTTTCAGTTTCTTTCTCCCACAACTTTTATTCTTTTTGCTTTTTTGATTTTCAGAAACAGGACAAAGGGAACACTAACTACTGTCGTTAGGAGTGGGCAGATGTATCCTCTCTCTGAGGTTTGTAGGAAAACGAGATTCATTTATTCACTTTTTTTACTTCTGTTATCTGAGTCTTTTTTTAGCTGCACATGAAAGAATGAGAGAGAATTTAATTTGACATTCATTGTTCTTGTATTCCCACTTTACTGAGCATATTATAATCACTTAACATGATGAAAAGAGCCTGATTTTTGTTCTTGGCACTGAAAAAAAAAAACCCCAAAGCACCTGTAGAGAGATTTTGTGTCCACAATTCAAAGGTCAGTACAGCTAAAACCACTTCAGGAATTCATCAAAAGAGTGTCCAGGAGGGGTCTTACGATCACTCGAACTCTGAGGACACACAAACTGCAGTTTTAAATCATGTCAATACCAGTACCCAACTCTCATGCGTGCACAAAAACTCTACTTTCAGTAAATGATGGAATTACAGAGCTATTACAGATGTGACACTAAAAGGCTGTAACATCATAAAAGTCGGTTTCCTCTCTGTATGCACCGGTTGAGGTTTGATTAGTATCGCAGTCTACGTTCACACGCTCCAGTCCTCTCCCCCAAAAACACTTTGGACAGATGTGACTCTCATCTGTGAGAGTATTTCATAATGCTGCCACTCAAAAATTGCATTGTTCCCCTCTATTTAATACTTTCTAAAGGGTTGCCCAAAATAGAGGGAGAGAGAACTAGGCCAGTGCTGGACCCAGATTGCCTTTAGCAGATATGAGATAAAAAATATGGGACGTAAGCTTTCTAAATCTAAATGCCTGCTGTCTGTCAACCATAAAAAAACACTGGTTTCAGGGGAATTATTGCATTATGAGATCTTAGCCATTATGTTGCCCCAGGATGAGCTTTGTGGCTCCATTAATGTGTGTTGAGGTCTTGAAGGAAAAATGGCCTCAAAAACACTTTAACTCAAGAATGAAAAAGTTTTATAAACTTGTAAAAGCTCTTTATACTTTCCTCATTCAGAGTTTCTAAAATGTCACATTGGGTAACTTTCTGTCTAACCGCAACGGTAATCGTTTGTTTCACAGGTGATTGCCACTGTTACCATTATACTTTAATCATGGCTCTGTGAAGCTATTCTTGGAGTTTTTTTTCCCTTATTATTTTTTTATATTACACCCAAAATCTGGCACACAGACTTTTTCCCAATCTGTCCTTGATATAATTTAATATCTTTCTTTCAGTGAA